GTCAGCAATAGCAGAGCCATCCGAAGTGAATCAAGTCTTCGGACTCTTGTCCACAGTTGAGGCCATTTCACAGTTTGTCACGTCTTTGACATATAATGTCATATTCAAAGCCACAATCCATTATTATCCTGGTTTTATATTTCTGATTAGTACTGGCTTATTATTAATACCTTTCGTTTGTTTTGTTTATATTGCTGTAAAGAAATAAAATTTCTTTTTCTAATAAAATGTTTAAGCAAACTGGTTCTAGATATACAGGTACTAATCATCGATTTATATAATTCTAGTTATTTTATTTACATATTTAACTCAAAAAATAAATAGCATAGAAATAAATAAATACCTTAAACACTCATATAAAATATATATTGAATTTAAAAATTTAGAGTAATTCATACAAAAATAGCATATAATTGAAAAAACAAAACAAAATATCGGTAATCAAACATTTGAAAGAATTTGTGTTTTCCTTAGACTTAAGCTTTTGAGTGTCGGTTCCGGTGTTAGGGGTTTACGGCGGCGGCCCCTTCGCCCGTCTTCTCACTCGAGCCCTTCTTCCCCAACGCCTCCTTAGAGCCCGGCTTTTGGTCCACTTTTTCCTGAGACCCCGGTTTAGTATGTAGTGATTCCTGTGAACGCTTTGTTATAGACGGAGGTTCAGCGAGTGGTTGGCCTGCGGGCGGTGGGTTCGCCGCACCGGCAGCTATCGACCGATAATAAATTATATTTAAAACCCCAATTCACTCGTCAGATATACAGCAGTCTTACCAGCGATTTGTTTCTCTTCCGTTGGTTTGATTGCAGTTTTGTTAATGCCTTTGAATTTCATAAAAGCCCTAAACATGTGAACAAAAATAGAAGTAAAGTTGAGATCAATAACGATTTTAAGGCACGAATTGAATACCAAATAAGTCCTACAATTGCGATACAAATGAAGACAATACAGATGAGAATTAGGGCCCATTTCTTGGAATGGCCACCATTTGCACCCGTGTCCGGGGGAGGGGTTGTAGATGAGACATCAGCAGGATTTATACTCACAGTGGTAGTGATATTAGTAGGTTCTTGGTTATTATCAACTGGAGTACTGTTAGTAGATGTGTCGGGGTTGGGGTTGGGGTTGGGGTCATCCTCCTCATTGGTCGACCCCTAAACCAAATGAGTTTTCAGTTGAATTCAATTCATGGCTCAATCTATTGGTTATATACCTCTAGCTTCTGGTGGTGCGGGTGTCGCGTCCGGGCGTTCAAGACATTCATGTCTAACTCGATGTCACCGATCCTTTTGGCCGACTTCGACATCAAGTCCACGGATACGTCAGTCAATACCTGTCCGTCGCCTCCCATCGGATTGTTTTTCTACGCAAATGGTTATCGCATTCATTATGAGATCTCAAATCAAATGACAATTCAATACTCACATCGTCCTCAACATCCACTTCCGGTGCCTTTTGACCTTTTTCTGGGATCTTTTCGTCCACTTCGACGTCAAACTCCAAGTCTCCGATCCTTTGAGGGGTTCCCATGACATCCATAGGCGCCGATGATATGACATCGAGGGCTGAGAATATGGCCTCATAGTCAAGGGTTGAGCCGCCATTCTCTCCTTCATGGGCACCGGGAGTCTCCTCTTTATCATCAATAACCCCTTCTTTGTTGTCAATACCTTTGCTGTGAACAGCTGGTGGTCCACCTCTGGCCGCAACAGTTGAGCCTACTTTGCCATCAATGAAGTGAATCTGCGGTGAAATGATAAGGAATGCAATCAATAAAAACATTTCTTTGGATCAACTCTTTAGCGAAGAATTCAGTTCAAAAGACAATAGGAAATAGAGTCTAACGTTAATTAACTGTTTAATATTTGATTGATTCACAATTTGTGGTCAATTCACGCGATAAGAGTACGAAAAGTATTGTTAATTCAAGTGTACCGTAATTTTCTAATACAAAAGTGTCATATTTTGAAATTTGTTACCATTTCTTAGTAATTATTTCATCACACAGTCGGTTCATCTCATTATTAGTAATCTGATTAATAGTCTATAAAATGTTNCTTAGTAATTATTTCATCACACAGTCGGTTGATCTCATTATTAGTAATCTGATTAATAGTCTATAAAATGTTGTCATTTATAGTCCTTTTATCAATGATTGTCTCAGTATTTGGTAAAGAATTTTGTTCAGAAGATGTACCAAAAGGGGGTTATTCTGCCTTTAATTACTTGAAGAATATTATGATTGTCTCCCATAAGGAGGACTACTATTCACAGAAACAGATACTCTCATATAATGACGATTACTATGTGTCGTATAAAAACACACGGATTGCAAACGCCGAGGATATGCCGTTCAATTGGGCGCCAACTGGTGATGACATCGCGGGCGCCATACTTGTGGG